ACTTAATATATAACCCGACACTTCATAGTTGTACCCCACATAATGAATAACCCTTTTTGTGTGAAAACCCGATACTTTGTATTGTACCCCTTTAGTATAAAAACCTTTTTGTAATGAGTTCGAAAAGTAAATGGATCATAAATTGTACCTACTATAGTTTATAAAATGTTTGTAAGGTAGTGAACATAACTATGCCTATGATAGTTTATCAAATGTTTGTAAGGTTAGAAATCCTTTTGTTTTCTATGTAATACCTATTTCCAAGATAAAATGACTTGTAATATAACAACACATATTCACATATTGATGCACACCATGCTCGGCAAGTTACAAGGTGCAAATGAATTTATAACAATTTGCTAGTTTTATCCTTTCTGTTTCTGTTCTTGGAATAATTATAGAAAATTCATACAGAGTCGAAAACTGATTCCATAAATTTTAAGAGTTTATAAATTGTGTCTAGTTTGTTCATAATTTTTTCATAATTTTTAGAAGTTTAGATCTTGTGTGAAAGCGTTCATATTCACAGACTGGTCCAAAATCGTAGCTATAACGATAGGCAGTTTTGTAAAAATCACCATAAATTGTAGAAAAATCATATGGAGATGTGCAAGTAGTCATTTTAAAGTTATGAACCTGAACTATTTGCATCTAATACAGTTTTGAAAAATAAAATTTTAAGTTGACCAAAACTGTCCGTGAATGGAGTTAAACTTTTCTGATGAAAGTTGTTGGATGAGTTTAGTTGTGTTCTTGGTGTTTTAACTTGTATTCCCCTCCCCCCTAAAACTTAGGGAAAACATTAAAAGATATGGGTATGAACTCACCTTGAGTGTTCTTAGTAGATGGATGATAGGGAAAAGAAGTGTTCAACTCAAGAACACTTGGGAGTTGCTCGAAGATTTGAAGATCTAACAACAAATATGATGATATTTGTGTAAGGAACCCTTAATTTGGGTGAAGAAGTGTAAAATAACCAAGTTTAGGATGAAGTTTACTTACCAAAGATGTGTGAGAAGCTCAAAACCTCTAGGGAATTTCGAGTTCTTGGAGGGAGGAAGTGAGAGAGAATGAGTTTTTGCTTTTTGGTGAAAAGTGAATGTGGTCTTGGATGTGAAGGATAATGATCCTTTGTGTGTACTACTAAGAAAACTTGTTGAGGAAGTGTGAAAAGTATAATGAATAGGTGAGGTCTGATGGTGAATAGTGACATGGAGTGGGTATGGGAAGGTTGCTTGTGTCATACACTAAGGCAAAGTCAACACTCCACCTAAAATATCCTACCCACTAATTTTTCATAAGGATTATACCCAAAACGTGATTAAATCATGAAATATGGGGTCTTATATGTTGAAATGTGATTTTGGGTGAAAATCCTGTGTTAAAATAATTAAAAACAGACTTAAAACGCAAAACTAGTCGAAAACCGGGAAGAAAAGGCTTTACAGCGAAGCTTCTTGGATAGGGGCCGAAGGTGCGAGGGTCGGAGGAGCGAAGGCGAAGGGGAGGTTTCGGTCCGAAGGAGGAGGTTTCGGGTTCGGCTCGCAAGGAGCTTCGGGTTCGGTTCGCAAAGCAGCATCGGCTTCGGTACAGTAGGGTTCGGTCCCTTAAGGGACCTTCGGTTCTTAAGAGGGTTCGCCCCTTATGAGAAGTTTTCGGCTCCTTAAGGCTGTTTTGCCCATTTTTACCCCGTTTTAAGTGATTTTTGACCCGATTAAGGGTCGGGATGACCCGAATGATTTCAAAAAGTTATAGGAACTTTTAAGAGACAGTTGGGAGAGAGTTTTAATATAGAGAGCTAGAGTGAAAGAGATTGGGAGAGACTTCTTTTGTGACATTTTTAAGTGTTTGGCTTCGTAACGCAAGGTTCGTACACCCCGTTAAGCCTCGTTATGATTGTTATATGTCCCCGTAGGGTATGAAATAGTGTTTTACAGAATAGTTTCTTCACTTACCCCGACTAGGGTTTAGAATTTATGAACAAACGAACTTTCCAAGTGATAACTTCTTATTAAAATAGCAAAGTGAACAACTTTAAACATAAGGAAAACCCTAATATACAAGGGTTAGATGAGTTGACCGGTTTGACCCGTTGACTTTATTTGACTTTGACTTGACCAGAAATTGACGATTGTCATAGTTCCAAAGATAAAAATCTTCGAAAACAAAAGGGAGAAAATATAATTGATGGTCCAAAAGAGAAAATAGAATCTCTTGAAAAGATTAATGAAGCTTTAGAAGAGACCAATGACATAACAAAAGAAACCAGGGTACCTGAAAATTATGAAAATGAAGAAATCTCAATAAATTGTGTAATGACAAGAATAAGATGGAACCAAAATAAGATAGACGTCGACGATAAATTTTCATATCATGTTGCGCGTGAGATTATGGAAGAAAATGAGGATCTTGAACCTAAATCTATAGAGGAATGTAGAAATGGAAAAGATTGTCCAAAATAGAAAGACGCAATCAACAAAGAGCTTAACTCTCTTACTCAACGAAAATTTTTTGGACCTGTAGTCCGTACAACAAATGGAGTAAGACCATTGGGACACAAATGGATATTTGTGCGCAAAAAAATGAGAAAAATGAAGTTGTGAGATATCAAGCAAGACTTGTTGCACAAGGTTTTAACTAAAGGCCCAGAATTGATTATGAAGAAACATACTCTCCTGTGGTTGATGCAATTACATTATGTTATTTAATAAGTCTGGCAACACATGAAAAACTGGAGATGTGTCTGATGGATGTAGTTACCGCCTATTTATATGGTTCACTTGAGAATGATATTTATATGAAAATCCCAGAAGGGTTTAAGGTGCTAGAAGCACAAACTCCTAATTCTATTGAAGTATATTCGGTAAAATTAAATAAATCTTTGTATGAATTGAAACAATCTGGCTGTATGTGATTCAATACTTTAAGTACATTTTTGTTGAAAGAGGACTATAAAAATGATCTATTAAGTCCATGTGTATTTATAAAAATATATGGATCATAATTTGTGTTAATTGTTGTTTACGTAGATGATTTGAACATAACTGGAACTCTAGGAGAATTGAAAAATGCCACTTCTTGTTTGAAAGAAAATTTTGAAATGAAAGATCTTGGTAAAACGAAATTTTGTTTGGGTCTTCAAATTAAGCACACCAAAAATGGAGTTTTTGTAGATCAATCCAGTTATCTAGAAAAGGTGCTTAAAATGATTTATAAGGATAAATCACATCCATTGAGTAACTCAATAGTAGTAAGGCATTTAGATGTTGAAAAGGACCAATTTCGGCCTTGTGAAAATCATGAAAAGCTTAATGGTTCCGAAGTACCATATCTTAGTGTTATTGGTGAACTAATGTATCTTGCTAATATTACGAGGCTTGATATATCTTTTGCTGTAAACTTATTAGCAAGATATAGTTCTTGCCCAACAAGAAGACACTGGAATGGAGTCAAACACATTCTTCAATATCTTCGAGGTACAATGGATATGTGCTTATATTATTCAAATTCATCAAATGCGAAGTTAATTGGTTATGTAGATGTTGGATATTTGTCTGATCCACACAAAGCTCGATCCCAAACAGGTTATTTATTCACTTGTGGAGGTACCGCAATTTCTTGGCGTTCTGTTAAACAAACTTTAGTTGCTTCTTCTTTTAACCATGCAGAGATTATAGGAATTCATGAGGCAAGCCGTGAATGTAGTTTGTTAAGAAATTTAACTTATCACATTCGTGAGAATTATGGTTTAACTTCTAACATGGACGATCCAACCATACTATATGAAGATAATGTGGCTTGTATATCCCAATTCAAGGAAGGGTTTATGAAAGGAGACAAAACCAAACATATATCACCAAAGTTTTTTTTCCTCATGATCTTCAAAAGGAGTGTGGCATCAACATCCAAAAAAAATTCAATCAAGTAACAACTTGGCAGATTTGTTCACTAAAACGCTTCCTACATCCAAATTTGAAAACATGGCACAAAACATTGGAATGTGACGCTTTAAGGAAATCAAGTGATGTGATGATCAGGGGGAGTTGGAAACATATTGTACTCTTTTCCTTAGCTATGCATGTTTTTTCCATTGGATTTTCTTAGCAAGGTTTTTAACGAGATAATTGTTCCTAATATCTATTATTAATCATGTACTATTTTTCCTTAATAAATGGGTTTTTCCCATGAGGTTTTACCTATTAAGGTTTTAACAAGACATGATACAATCGTCATTCAAGGGGGAGTGTTATGGAATATTAGTTTGTAAATGACCATTGGATTCTTCATTCTCCCATAACTCCCCATCATTATTTAGTATTAGTAACAACCATTTCAATATGTTTTATGAATGTAATAATGCACCATCATAATGTGCATTCATTTTATAGCTCATATTTCATCTTATTTTGATAGTATAAATAGTAAACCATATATATTAGAAACTCGATGATTTTCATCAGAGTATTAGAATAAAAGTTCTATCCCCTCTCATATATTTCTTACTTTGCAATTTATTTTGTTATTAGATCATATCTTATAACAGTACAATTCGTTTTCATTTAGTTATTTAATTAGTCGTTTTAATAATTTTCTTATGTTTTGATGAGAATACAGAATACAATGATTAAAATAAATAACAAATATATGTGAATAACACTAAAGGGATAAAGTTATAACGACGGACAGGGACTAAAACTGGACAATAGGAAATATTTATAACGTTAAAACCTAGTTAATAAGGACTATTATGTGTTAAACAAAAACCTTAGGGATCAAAACCATCAAATTGTGAAAGATTACATGCAAGAGGCCTTTCTTTCCGTCGTGACCCAGCTAGTCACGACCTTTGAAGCCCAAGGAAAACAGGGATCGGCTCCTTATACATCTTTTATGGTCCGTATATCCGTTTTCATAAGATCTTCTAATAACACAATCAGTTTCAATCGTCCCTCTCGCCCTCCCTTCACCAAAACCCTAGAAATCCATACCACCGGAATCAAATGTCGGACCAAATTCCTTTCTATATCCAAGAGGAGATCATGAAAAAGCTTCCTGTCAAATCACTAGTTCAGTTTAGATCTGTCTGCAACGAATGGAAGAGTTTCATCGACAGCTCTAAGTTTATTGCTGCTCACTGCGTTACTCAGCCGCAGAATCTGCTTTTAAGCTACGAAGATCCGGTAGAAAAATCGGAAAAATGTGTTTCTTTTATGGATGATGACACTTTCCCTCAACAGAGGTTCGTTCATACCCTTCCCATGTCCGTTAAACTCCTCATAGGCTCAACCATAGTCGGTAGCTCTTATGGATTGTTATGCTTCCGTGGTCATTGTGGGAAACGCGAGGATCTCTGGACGAAATTGGAAACGGAGACTGTTGTTCTGTGGAATCCTTTGATTAGAAAGACAATTACTATTCCTATGCCTAACAAGTTTAATAAGGACCATGAAACTGATCTTGGTTTTGGGGTTTGCCCTGTTACTATTGACCTTAAGATCGTTGAGATCACGCAATTTCACAAAACAAGCTACAATTGTGAAGCTAAAGTTTATACTGTGAGCTCAGGCAAATGGAGAAGTCTATCTAGCAATGTTCCGAGTAAACAGTTTCGTGTCTTCTGGGCTCAAGTGGTTGTTGATAGGTTTATTTATTGGTGTGCTTTTGACCCTACGACTATAGATAACGAGTTACCAAATCATAATTTTATAATGTCATTTGACATAACTAATGAGAATTTTGGAGTGGTAGAACTCCCAGATTGTTTAAGGCGCCACTCTCCCTCTTAGTTGTGTATTTCTAATGTAAGGGAGTCTCTTGTCATGCTCGAATATGATAGCTTTGTGAAACGTGCTTGTGGTGTATGGATGAGGGATAATGGTGTTGACAAATCATTTACTAAGAGATTTACTGTTGAGGCTCCACCATATTCGTTAATGTCAATAATAACACTTGGATTTAGGAAGAGTGGTCAACCTTTATTGGAAGTGGAAAATTGTGATGAATATATTGGACGAAGTGCACTTGTGGTGTATGAGCCCAACTTAGAATACTTCGATGATATTGGGATTTATGCAACAACTGAATCTTTCGCTGTGAATTCGTATATGGAAACTCTAGTTTTGCTTGGTTGATTTGATAGTATTAGTTACTGATGATAAATCTCACATTTTTGTAAATTATAGGATTAAAATATCAAGTTAGGAGGCAACGTGAGTGATTTTTTCATGGGTGTAAATCTGAAATTTCTTTGTTTCTGCTTTCTCAAACTATGATGCTTGCATATTGATAATATCAGAGTAATTTAGTTTATAATTGTTTGCGTGATCGTATAACTCTACAAAGAATAGGAATGGGAAAAATAAGTGATGCTACTCACATTGTTATCTCCTTGGCTTCATATTAATTTCTTCTATCAATTGCAATTGCTTAGGCTGTGATGCTACACGATATGAGATTTTTGAGTTGTTATGATTTTCTTATTTCTTTTATATATAAGAACTTTTGTTTCCCTTTGTTAATTTAAATACACAACTCAACTTCATGAAAAAAATCTCAATAAATTGTGTCTAATCAAAGTTCTAAACCAAAAAAAATTTCAATAAATCCTTCAATTATTGTATACATGTTTGTATCAACAATTATTTGTATGTTCGAGTTGCTTTAAAACAATAATTATTTAAAAATCATGGTTATATCATATTATCCATTATCCATTTAAATCTCTTTTAAAATGCAAATCGTGTATCTTATTACTTTATATTTTAGTATATGTTCAATATTTTAATTATAATAATAAGTGTTTTTTAACATTTTCTTTCACTTATTAATAATAATAAGTGGTTTTAAAATTAATGAAAAATAATTATAAATAATAAAATCAAATTATAAAAATCATGGATATATCATATTATCCATGTAAGTTTCTTTTGAAATACAAATTGTTTATCTGATCACTTTATTATTTAGTGTATGTTTTACATTTTAATAATAATATTAAGTGTTTCTTAAAAATCTTTTTTAACATATTATTAATAATAAGTGGTTTAAAAATAATGAAAAATAATTTTAAATAATAATAACATCACATTATAAATTATATTTAGTTACAAATAAATTGTATTTTAAATGAACGTCGTTATTGAAATTATAAAATGATTGCATGAGTAAAAACATAATTAATCAATAATAATAATTGTTAAAAATAATACGAAATAGATAATTATATTTAATTCTATTAATGAGAAAGGTGGGTTGAAGTCAATGAAGATTATCGTTAAAAATAATTTAGATTTTATATATATAAATTATTGTAAAAATATTATCTCAAAGTAAATGTCAATGACATAACCATTTTAAACATATATTTTTTAATATTTTAATAATATACTTTTAACCTGTGTTGTACAACTCGCAGAAATTCGAATAGTATACTTATGAATGAATCATTTTCCTTTTACTACATTCATTTGAAACTCCCATTACTTTTGAATTTTTTCTAATAATGATTATAAGTTGTTTAATAAGGTTAAATAAATACCAAATTTAAAGTGTAATCATATATAAACTTAATTTCAATATTAAAAGAATATTTTCACTTTTACTTATAAACTTATGTTTTTTTTAACTTTTAATATATTATACATAATTTATTTGTTTTAATATATTATAGGATGTAAACCATTATCATTTTAAATCGACAACTTTTGAACAAATTGTATAAAATACTTAAATTATTAGTTTAAATATAACATTAAATGGTAAACTACTTAAATATAAATATAATATTATAGGGTCAAGTTCAATATAAACTTCAGTTCCACTTAAAAATCCCAAAGAATATTTTGTGAATAGTGAAAAATGATGAAATTGTAGTGCTAAATGCAAAATCTAAATTATAATATTAATTTAAGTAAAATATTTTATAAAGATATTTTTATAATCGTTAAAAGTTTTCAAATAAGTAAATAAAAATAACTTACAATAACAGTGATTAAAATAACTCAATATAAATGATTATATTGTCACCTTTAAAATGAAAAAAAAAAAATATTTGATATTTTAAATAATTATAATGATAGAAATTAAAAGGGTAAGCAAATAAATTTTTAAAAATTAATTGACAATAACTACAACATTAAATTACATTAAACTATATATTATATTTAATTTTATTTATGAGTAACTCGCGAGTAGAAATCATTCAAATTGTTGAGATTATGCAGTTATAATAGATGTATATGCTATCGTATAATTTAAAATAATCAATATGTTATCGTATAATTTGAAACCTCCTATTATAATTAATATCACTCAAAAGTCTCTTAATAATGATTAACAATTCAAAGATTTTATAACTTATATAGTATATTTAATAAACATTTAATGGATAGTCTACTATAAAGGGCTAATCGCTTTGAGTAGACACACAAATACAAATCACATACAAAATTCAAAAAGAAAACACGTTTAAAGTTTTTTATTTTGTTTGAGGGGTTTGGATCATTTTTCGACCCATCTATATTGAAGTTTTTAATTTGTAACCTTTTTATATACTAATTCTTTTTTTGTATTTTCTTGGTTTAACTATTATTTTAAGAATATCATTGTATGTTGTGGTTGAAATTTTAATGCACATTAAATTAGATTCATATTATTGATCATATGTTATGGAAGGTGATATATATATATATATATATATATATATATATATATTATATATATATATATATATATATATATATATAATATTTAATTAACTATTGTATACATGTTTGTAAGTTCGTGTTACTTCAAAGCAATAATTATTTTAAAATCATGGATATGTCAAATTATCCATTATCCAAGCAAGCCACTTTTAAAATGCAAATTGTGTATCTTATCACTTTATATTTTAGTATATTTTTAACATTTTAATTATAATAATAAGTATTTTTTAACATTTTCTTTCACTTATTATTAATAATAAGTTGTTTTAAAATTAATGAAAAATAATTATAAATAATAAAATCAAATTATAAAAATCATGGATATGTCATATTATCAATGTAAGTCTCTTTTGAAATACAAATTGTTTATCTGATCACTTTATTATTTTGTGTATGTTTCACATTTTAATAATAATATTAAGTGTTTGTTAAAAGTCCTTTTTAACTTAAAATAACTTACAATAACAGTAGTTAAAAATAACTCTATATAAATGATTATATTATCACCTTTAAAATAAAAAAAAATGTTTGTTGTTTTAAATAATTATAATGATAGAAATTAAAAGGGTAAGCAAATAAAATTTAAAAGTTAATTAACAATAACTACAACATTAAATAATATTAAACTATATATTATATTTAATTTTATTTATGAGTAACTCGCAAGTAGAAATCATTCATATTATTGAGATTATGCAGTTATAATAGATATATACACTATCGTATAATTTAAAATAATCAATATATTATATCAATTTCTTATACAAATTATTATATCAAATTTAACAACAATGTTATGGTTATATTTAAAAAAAACATAATATATTTGTAAAGATTACTTAATACCTTATGTTAATATGTTGGATGATGTGAATTTTAATCCTTCCCCAAGTATTTCTTGCAAAATTATCTTTTACATTCTTTAATAAAATTTGGGTTTAGTGGGTGCCTTTCACCAAACATTTTATCCAATTGATCTAACATTTGTTTGTGAAAATATGCAACTATCACGAATATAATTAAATTCGCAAACTACTAAAAAACAAATTGTGGCTTAGGCCTACTCACGAGTTTAGCGACATAAATGTCTTTTTTTATATATTTGAAAAAAGAATGATCCTTGGTAATAACGTATATTAGCTCAAGATTCTAAGAATTTTGTTGAACGGTGAACAATTCTTAATTATTATATCAACGGAATTTGTTTGCATGTGCATTTTACATGCTTTTGTTTACATGCATGAATAATGATGCTGCTATGCATATCTTTCATGACAAATGTCCTTTTACATAATACGCGTATCTAATGTTGTTTCCCTATATTTGTGTCAGACATATGGAAATTTTTGTCAAATAATTTATCAATCCATTTATTGATAAAAATGGTGTCAATATGTAGATAGCTGCGTTTCATAATGCAATTAAGTATTTGATACCCATTTGTTGAAAGCTTCATTTCCAAATCAAATAGACTGTTTTATTTATTAAAGGGAGAACAAGGCTTCAATGATTGTTTTACTAGTCATACTATACTTATAAAGAAGACATTTAAACTTGAACCTCATGTATTTGAAACCCCAACAAAATTTTACAAACACATCATGCATTTGAAACCTCCTATTATAATGAATATCACTCAAAAGTCTCTTAATAATGATTAACAATTCAAAGATTTTGTAACTTATATAATATATTTAATAAACAATTAATGGATAGTCTATTATAAAGGGCTAATCTCTTTGAGTAGACACACAAATACAAATCACATACAAAATTCACAAAGAAAACAAGTTTAAAGTTTTTTGTGTTTGTTTGAAGGCTTTGGACCATTTTTCGAGCCATGTATGTTGAAGTTTTTAATTTGTAACTTTTTTATATACTATTTTTTTTTTTTTTTGTATTTTATTGGTTTAAGTATTATTTTAAAAATATCATTGTATGTTGTGGTTGAAATTTTAATGCAAATTAGATTAGATTCATGTTATTGATCATATGTTATGGAAGGTGAAAATATATATATATATTATATATATATATATATATATATATATATATATATATATATATATATATTATTTAATTAACTATTGTATATATGTTTGTATGTTCGTGCTGCTTCAAAGCAATAATTATTTAAAAATCATGGATATGTCATATTATCCATTATCTATTTAAGCCTCTTTTAAAATGCCAATTTTGTATCTTATCACTTTATATTTTAGTATATGTTTAACATTTTAATTATAAAAATAAGTGTTTTTTAAAATTTTCTTTCACTTATTAATAATAATAAGTGGTTTTAAAATTAATGAAAAACAATTATAAATAATAAAATCAATTATAAAAGTTATGGATATGTCATATTATCAATGTAAGTCTTTTTTAAAATACAAATTGCTTATCTGATCACTTTATTATTTAGTATA